ACGGGGGGGGGGGAGGGGGGGGGGGGGGGGTGCGGGGGGGGGGGGCGCGGGGGGGGGGGGCACGGGGGGGGCGGGGCCTGGGGCTCCGACGACCGCTTCGGTGTGGGGGACTTCAGAGGACGGCGGGACGACAGGTGGGCGAGCCGCATCTGAGTGGGTGAGGCCGGTTCTGGCCGGTTCTGGCCGGTTCTGGCCGGTTCTGACCGGTTCTGGCTCCTGTTGCAGGTTCCGAGGGGGCGGGCCGGGCCGAGGGGGGCGGGGCTACACCGAGGACTACAGCGGCCAGGAGGAGGGCTTTGACGGCGGCGAGGAGGTCGGCCGAGGCTGGGAGTCCGGGGGCCGAGGGAGGCCCCCCCGAGGAGGAGGGCCCCCGCGGGGAGGAGGTGAGGGGTCGGGGGGCGGGGCCATGGTGTCCGAAGGGACGGCCGTCTGTCACGCTGACCCTCGTCTCCTCCTGTCCTCAGGCCATGACGGGTTTCGGGACGACGGTTCGTCTCCGGGGGGGCGGGAGCGTCCCTCGTCCATGCAGGGGATGGACATGGCGTCCCTGCCGCCCCGTAAGCGTCCCTGGCAGGACGGCCCTGGGACCGGGGACCACGAGGCTCCAGACGGAGGTCAGTGATTCATGACTTTCAGTTAAAGGGTACATGTGGTTCAAAATCCACTTTTGTAGCCCTTGAATAATAATTTTTGTACTTTTAGTGTCTAAAAATGCATAAATGTCCATTTCTTCCCTCCCGGTGCTGCGTAGACATGTTTATGTTGTTTTTGGGTTATATTTTTCAGTCTTCATTTTTCCCAGTTGTCTGTGGCATGCTAAACAAGGTCATAACCGTCTCAGCGATTGTGTAGGAAAGCGTTTTAGCCCAAACGATTCCCCACACCGCCTCTTCAAGGGGTCTGGCTACGTTTTATTCTCGGGACGTTCCCACATCAGAGGGGAAATCTGTGTTTTGAGCTCCAGCAGAATGGAGAGGGATTTCCTGCCAGACTTCATCTGACTGGCGGTCGGTTCCTTCTCTCTGTGGAAGCGCTAAGGGACAGCAAAGCTAGTTGTAGACATGAATGCTGTGTGTCAGTAGAGACGTCTTGGCTGTTGGTCAGCATTGAGCCTCCTGTTAGCGCTGTGTGCTAGCTGCTAGCTGCCTCCTGGAGGATCCAACTGCTCTGCATGCTTTGGATACAATTATTAGTTTTTGCTGTTTTTGTCCCGGGGAACAAAAATGATCCAAATGCATTCGGTGACGGTTTTTTTTTTAAAGGATTTATTGGCTCTAGGGGCCTTTATTTAATAGTTAGTTGACAGGAACGTGGGTAATGAGAGACGGGGAAGACATGTGGCAAAGGTCACCAGGCCGGGAATCGTACCTGGGACATCCGCGTCAAGGACTGAGGCCTCCATATGTGGGATGTGCTTAACCCCTGCACCACCACAGCACTCCCACATTCAGTGACGTCCTTGACGCTCCGTTAGCTAACCCCTTCATTATGTCATGATGATGATTTGTTTCACACAGACATTTCACCAGCAAAACGTAATAAAATAAGAAATGTAAATACAATACCTTATTACCAAGTATACAAACTCCAATCCATGTAAATCTCCTCCTGCTCTGAGTCTGAAACGGAGGAAGTTTGACTTTTATAATCAGAACCTTTTTTCATTTCATAACATCAATAATCTTCCCATTTCCTGAATCCTTCTCTAAATCAGAAATAGTTCCTGAACCAGACGAAAATAACTCCTGCACATCTACATATATAATGTATACACACACTAGGGCTGTAGTGACACAATAATCTCACAATACGATACACGATATTCTGTTCACGATACGATATATATTGTGATATTCAGCAAACGATACAATTCAATACACTTTTCCGATTTTCTGAAAGATTTTAGAGGGACAGAGTGATTTTGGTGACATTTTGTGACTTATAGAGTTGGATTGAATTAATTTAACTGAAAACTGATTAAAAGCACCAACCTGGCTCTGGTTGGACATGGACACAGACTTAAAGTCGACAGCTAGACAAAATGAATCAAAGTGGCGAGAAAACATGTTTCTTTTAATTGAAACAGTACAAACTGTAGCTTACATGCATTTGTAAAGTAAATAAAGTGCACCAAGTACCTGCTCTGCATAGTGTGATACCTTTTAACCCTGACACTTCACATGTGAAGGAATCACTCTAAGCCTGGTTGACCTAATCACTCTCCTGGCGAAGCAGCAGTGAGTGAGACAGGTGACAGTTGGATGTTATGATACTTGCGGATGAATATTGATTTTTTTCTAGGAAAGAAAATATCGATATATATCGCAAAATCGATATTATTACACAGCCGTAACACACAGACCCAGTTGCCCCGGTCGTCCTCCATGCTGTAATTCCCTGTTGCTTCTAATAAAACATCTTGAGGTTTTTCATGGACGTTGCTTCTCTTTGTTCCAGATCGTCTCCCCAGCCACCGATTGGCTCGTTGTTTTCATGGTTGTTTGAACGTTTAGCGTTCTGAAGTTCAGCTGTTCTCTACAGTCAGACCCTCCACTCTATCAGTAAACAATGTCTGAACATTTTCTGGTAACAATTTGTTTCTAGCTTTGTACATAAACTGTGCAGTTTGAAACTCTACCAAATCAGTGAGTTTCAGAGGAAAGAATCTATAGATAAATTGTTGGTGTGACGATAGAAATCAGCCTGAACTGTTGGACTGGCTCTTTTCTGTAATGTGCAAAATGGAAATCATCATCTGTTGCTGAGAGAACTTTTCATCCAGTGCTAACCGTCTCCTCTTGGACCTCTTCGTTCCTGATGAGTATTTCATGGTCAGTTGGATGAAATGCTGTTTTTAAGTGGGTCAGTCCCCAGCAGCAGGTTGGTCTCCGTCTGGGGAACCGGTGGCTGTGGTCTCCACCCAGACCGACTCCCAGCCAGTTGGTGTTTGTTAATGAATCTTTCCAATCTGGAAACAAATTTCCAAAACGTTGGAGGCCAGTGGAAGTAAAACAGGCCTGTAATTTGTGAAATGATGTTGTATTTATACAGTGGGATGACTTTTGCAGTTTTCATATTTTGTGTGAATTTACCAGTTTTCATTGACAGATTCCAGATATGTTAGCGGCTGGATAATTTCTACAATCACCTTCTTTACTATTATCATGTCGATGCCATCACAGTCAGTTGACCTTTTATTTTTACATTTATTTATTATGGCCATCGTTTCTTTTCCTTCCACTCTGACAAACATGGAATCTGGATTTCTCACTAATGTCGTTTAGTGTTTCATGTGCTACAATTATGAACTATCTCTTCTAAGTTGTTAAGGTTTGTATTATTTGTGTGCTTGGAGATTTTCCTAATGAGTTTAAAATATTCCAGACACCTTTAAAATTTTATTTATTATTTTTATTGTTTGCTATAATAACCTTGTTTTGCTCCCCGTAAAGTCGCGGTGAATTTATTTTTTCTTGTTCGTACCGTCAGCCTCAGTTGATCTATGCTTTATGAAATCTCTTGTAATTTGAGGGAAAGACTTTGTGATCGTTTACTGATCAATATTAAAGTTGTTCATGTCGATAAAACGGACCTTTGCAGTTGTAGGTTTCAAACTGTTCAGATTCGTATTAGAACCAGGAGCCCTACATATTCAACCAATTACATTTTTATTTTTTCCATATATATATTTCAACTGTTACATCCTCAAAATGATGTTTTACCTCTTTGGTTTTCAGCGATGTCTGACTCTGCTCCTCCACCTCGTTAATATTCAGATCCAGCTCCTTCTCACCATGAGCTGGTCGATAACGGCCTCTAAGCCTTCACATATCGTCACTGCTGGACCTTCAGACCGCTCAGGTTCTGGTTCTACATCCAGAACCAGACATGGAGAAGCAGCATTCAGCTTCTATGCTCCACAAATCTGGAACAAACTTCCAGAAAACTGAAAACCAGCTGAAACCCTGAGCTCCTTTAAATCCAGAATGAAACCGTCGTGGAGTTGATTTGAGCCATAAATGAAACGTTTGCTCTTCAGTAGATCGACTCGGATCCGTTTCATTTTAGTTCTGACTGAAAATCTCTGATCTTAAATGATAAATACTCTGATTTAGTAAATGTTTTTCCAAACATGCTAATAGTTGTGTATTTTTAAAAATTTCACAAATAGTCAAACCATTATATTAAGCACTTTATTGCAAAGTAAAAATAGAATTTGTAAATGTTTCACAGCAAATAATAAGATTGTTTTAACTAGGCCTTTCTCTTTATTGAATTAATTTCTACTGAATCTTTTGCAGGTTTGATCTGAATCTCAGGATTTTCCCTCTTCATGTTTGTCTCCGCAGGCGGACGACCTCAGAGGGACGACGGCGGCTACGGCCCCCCCGGGCGGGGCGGGCGGGGGGGCTGGGGGCCCGCGGGGGGGGCGGGGCTGAGGAGGGGGGGACCACCACCCAGGGGGGGGCCGAGGGCCGGCGGGCGGGGCCGGTAGGGCCGCTCACCACCTTCAGACTGTTGGTCATGTGACCTGGCTCACCCCTTAGGGGGCGTGGCCCCCATGGGGGCGTGGCCACCGTGCAGCAGGTGTCTGATGTAGAGACTCAGTTTTGTTTCTGCAGCGTTTTCTAACAGATTTCTATGTGTTTGTGTTTTCACCGAACTGGACAATAAAGATTCACACTTGAACTGCTGGCAGCGTGGCGCCCCCTGTGGGCCGCCCAAATAACGTGTTTGATTGGCCAGAATCAGACGGCAGGTTCTGGTTCTGACCCGCTGAATCCCTGTATTCATAATAAAACAACCGATCCACCTTAAATCCCAAACGGAGAACAAGCTGGATGGATTTCTGCTTCAACACCAGAACCAGAACCTGTCTGACTGCACAGGTTCTTGTCGGGGAATCCCAGGGTTCCTATGGAGTTTGAAGCGGTCCAATCGGACCGGCTCCCAGTGATGTCACTATTTTCATTCCTTCATCTCCCACCAGGATGTTTCTTTGATACGGAACCGGGAGGAACCCTGGGGTCCAGTTAGCTCGTCCGGAACCAGAGTCTGGGTTTTCATGTCTGTGACCCAGTCCGCTGGTAGTACCTGTTTTATTAATAAAGCTACAACAACTCAGAACCAGAACCACCCTCCCCCCCCCATCACAGTTTTTGGGTCAGTTTTTGTACTTTGGTCCTCGGAACTCCAGATCCTCCTGGCAATCAGCGCCCAGGGTTTAGTCCTGCAGAGGAAAGTCTCGATACGCTCCGGTTCCGCCTCTGGGTTCGGTTCCGCTCAGATCGACAGGGTTCTGCCGCTCACGGTCCTCTTGAGGACGGAGAAAGTCCAGCCGCCCAGAACCCGGATCCCAGCGCTGCCCCCAGGCAGCAGCGCCAGCAGGCAGCCCAGGATGAGCGCCACCTGCAGACCGGCTCCCAGTGCCGTCAGCACGGTGCTGTGGAGGCCCAGGGCGGCGTAGAGCGTCCCGGCCAGGGAGGCCAGGTAGGCCGCGGCCCCGGGGGAGCGGTGCAGGCCGGCCAGCAGCCGGCTGGGGCCTCGCAGCGCCGCCACCGCCGCCACGGCGAACAGCGAGCCCAGCGACCAGAGCAGCGCGAACTTCCGGGCGTAGAGGAGCAGCAGCGGGGCGTAGAGGGCCGACAGCCCGAAACACAGAGCCGACATGGCCGCGCAGAGCCCGAACCCCAGCAGGCGCTGCTTCCGGGTCACTCCGGGCAGGCACGGGTCCGGGTCGGCCGACCAGGGCCAGGAGGAGCTGCCGTTGCCGCCGGAGCTCTGCCCGGACCACGGACTGGACCATCGGCCGAACCAGCTGCCCGGTACCGCTTCCGGTTCACCCACTTCCACCGAGGTGCTGGAGCTGGACTTGGTGCCGCCGCTTTTGGACTGGATCAGGTACTCCTGGAGCTGCCGGTTCAGTTCGGCCATGACGGTCGGGTTCGGGACTTCTTCTCGGGGGGAGAGGGGTTCTGGTGGTGTGTGCTGCCTCTTCCGGCCAGAGGCAGAACTGCAAGAACAATCACTCAGCTCTGCGACCGGTACCGAACCTTCTGGTTCTATGGAGCTAAAACAGTCTCATAATTCACAAATGCGCAGGATGAAATCCACACTTGTAATTTTTGATGTAAACCCAAATATATCTTGATTTCCAAGCTGCTTCTGGCCTGAGTTGCTGCAATTGTGTGAATTTTGAGATTCCCCTGATGTCTCAATCCACAAATGTCTTTGTTTAATAAGTAGTTTATCTGATTGGGTGATCAGTAACCAATCAGATAGCTTCCTTGTTTTAGCCAATCATATGAACAAACCCCCACGTGGGGTAACCTCTGTTTTAGACAATCACATTAACCCATTCCAGCAGCGCTGTAGCCATGACGACGGTCCGACAGTTTCGACCTCATCCTGGCTTCTGGCAGTGACAGCGGAGCGGTAAGTGAGATATCTAACATATTAGCTATTTATCCCCATGTTAATATTGTCGTGAATCTCGTCCTGTGCGTCCTGTTAATTATGAGACTGTTGTAGCTCCATATGGTTGCTACAGAATAAAGCTATAAATTAAAGTCGCCTAATGGACCACTCCACTCAGCGTTATATTTCTCAGGCATAATGATGTATCAGCGCATTAATCGATCAGAACTCACTAAATACTAAACAGATTATCACGCTTTATTCCTGTAAACCTTATTCAAACAGCTATCATAGCTACATTTACAAGGACATGTAGTTTTTAAAGTATTAAGTATTGGATTGATACATAGTTCAGCATATTTAAATATTCTTAGTGAGGAAAACAAAATATAATAGGAATATAATACTCTGATATTGATGAATAATGAGCATTTTACAAAGCACGCAGTCGGTCATAATTTTTTTTTATATTTATTTAGTACTGTATAGAGAAACAACGGTGATTCAATAACGATTAATACTGAATAATATGCACATATTTACATGCTCATTCATGTCTTCCAGCCGAGGAGTTCTAGCTTCAGAGAGCTTCTAAAGCAGTGGTTCTTTAACCTGGGTTCGATCGAACCCCAGGGGTTCGGTGAGTCGGTCTCAGGGGTTCGGTGGAGCCTCTGCCACGGAGGTAAAGACACACTGTGTAAAGTCGTGATGACGCCCCGCTTTGCCATCACTTGCTGCAGAGGATCACGTTACATTGCTGAGCCAATCAGAGCTGCGGGAACGAGCTCCACTCTCAGCATGGATTTTACCAAATTCTATAGTCTAAATCTGCTCCTTAGTCACATCTTTTCGGGGTTGGTACTGCCTCTAGTGGCGTGGGGGAGGTAATACAACTAATATAATCATCATAATACTGCAAAATATTGTGTGTGTGTGTGTGTGTGGGGGGGGGGGGGGGGGGTGGGGGGGTGGGGCATAAAAAGGGGGGGGGCGG